TTTTCTAAAATTTTAATAAAATTCTTAGCAAAATTTCAATTATTTTCAAAAATATTGATAAAATTCTATGCAAACATTTATAATTATTTTTATAAATCATAAAATTCTTTTTGGAAATTCAATTTTTTTCGTAAATAATAAAATTCTTTTTAGGAATTCAATTATTTTCATAAATAATAAAACTCATTGCAGAATTTCAATTATTTTTAATACAATTTTAATCGTATTTTAATTTTGTCGTATTTTCGTATTTTTGTCATAAACAATTGATTTAAAAATGGATTTCAGTTAAAATTTTAGATTATAATTAAATTTTAAAAGCATTAGAGCGTAAATTTTTAGAAATATTGAATTTTGAAAAGGTTGATAGAATTGAATTATTTGAAATTTTGTTGATAAAATTCTTTACGAAAATTCAATAATTTTAAGAAACAATCAATTGTTTAATAAAATATTTATTTTTGTATTTAAATAATTGAATTCTAGTAGAATTTTTGAATAAAAATTGATTTAAAAATTAATTTAATTTAAAATTTTAGATAATCATTGAATATTTAAAGCAATATAGCGTGAATTTTTAAAAATAATTGAATTTTGAAATTAATTTTTTTGAAATAGTTTAAATGAATTTTTTAAATATTATTTTAAGTTATTATTTTCTAATATTTATTTAATTGAAGAATTTACGAATAATTGAATTTTCGTAAAATTGAATATTGTAAAGAAATGGATTTGAAAATTGTCAAAGAACTTTTTCTAAAATTATTGAAAATAATCGATTTAAAGAAGAATTTTAGTTAAAAATTCTTGTAAATAATAATTGAATTGTAAATAATTTTATCACTTAGTCATCTGTTATTATTATAAAACATGAAGAAATTTTAACTTTTTATTAAAAAAATCCGAATAAAAACCAACAATCAAAAAGAAGTGTTAACTAAACATTAAAAAAACGTGGAGATTATTAAAAAGTGTAGAAAGTATGAATAATTATAATTTAATTATAAAATTTTCATTGTTTATTACGCTTGACTTTAATTAATTTTGCGAGCAACTGTGCACTTCTGGAGGTGCACTTAATGCTAAAGGGATAAGAAAATGGTCTCGTTGTTGAAACTCAATTATACGGAACGTATCTTTCATCTTTAACAGGTTTATTTTCAAAGGCATATTATGCTGTAAATTTCTCTAGTAATTTCAATCTTTTTTTCATTTCTTTCTTTTTATTGAGAAAAAAAATGCAGAAAATTGTTTGTAAAAATAGATTTTAATTTTATTTTGCAACAAAAAGGAAAGATAGAAAAAAATACTGAATTATTTTTAAGTTTTAAAAAATATATATAATATATACACAAGAATAAAAGAAACTTTGAAGGAAGTTGAGCAATTCTCTCTGATTCTTTTCTTTTTTTTTTATTTTCATCGGTCGCAATAAATTCAATTAATGTCAATAACATTGGACTATAGCCAATCCGATGATCTCCCGAGAATTTCCAAGCTATGAAAAGGGATACCAAGAAAAATATTTTCTTGATATAGTTTCGTCTACCTGGATTGAATAGCGTACTCAGATTTTATGCTCAAATTATTTTCAAATAAAATTTCAATTTTCAAAACTTGCTAGTGACACTGGAAGGTATTAAATTCATTTTTTCGATTTTTTATTTATTATATATTATTAATTTTATTTTTATTATTATGAGGTATTATTATTTTTATTATTATTATATTAAATAAAAATAAATTTCAATAATAATAATAGTCACAACATTGGGGATTAAATCAAGTTTTGATCGATATTTTTTTCAAAGGAGAATCACACTATTTTGTTATTACAATTTTCATTTGTTGAAAAAAATGGTATATCCGGTTTCGTGTATCGAGAATCGTGAGACAACATATTATTTAGATGAGAAAATTGATTAGAAGAAGTGGGTTAATTAACGGTGTACACGTAAGAAAACAATACTCACAATGAAAAACTAATTACATTTAAACGGATTTATTTTGCAAAAATGTTTAGAATAATTAAATGAAAATGTGTTTAAGGGAAAAATATTTTTGAATCTAAAGAAGAAAATTGAAAGAAAATTTTTATTTTTTTTTAAATAAAAAAGCTTTTTTCATATAAAAATTACGGATCACCCAAAATTACATAGGACAAAATAAATATTATTAACAAAATAAAGATAATAATATTTAAAGGACAGAATAAATATTTAAATATACTATTATTTATGGAGAATTTTCTATTTGTAACATAAGAGATTTAAATATGTTATATATAGATAATAATATTTAGAGGCCTTTTACGGAATATTTATTTTCATTTTATCAGAAAATTAAAAAATATAATCTTAGTTTTTACTGAAAGAAAAATTAAAATTCTGTCTATTTCTTTTTCAAAGAAAATGTTCTCTTAGTTCCCTTTTCAGAAGAAAATTAATTATTGAAGGATAAAATGGTGGTTCTCATGTCTCCACTTGAGAACGCCAAGGTCACCACCAGGTGGCATTGAATCTGATTTTACAAACTGAATTGACATCTAGCGGTGACCTTGGCGTTCTCAGGTGGAGAGTAGCGTCTCCATATTGAATCTCGAGATCAAGAAGAATTCGTAATTTTATAATTATGAGCAGACATTGATAAATTTAAAAAAAAAATACAAAAAAATAAAATTACTTGAAATATAAATAATAAAAAATCAAAAAAGTCAATTTTATAAAGGATGATAGATTTTACTACCTTTGGAAAATTGAAACTTATGAAAACAATAATGAAAATAGAAATACAACAGAAAACTATTTTTCTATTTTAACTTTTATGAAAAATGAATGTAAAGTTAAATAAAATGGTACAACTAAGATATATATAGATAAAGAAGTTCGAGAGAATTAATGGAATTGCGGTAAATTTCATATAATAATGAGATTAATTCTAAGACATAAACCAGGCACGAATTTAACGGAGCAAGCATTTCCGAGCAAGGACGTGGAAACTTTGTCGCTGATATGCAATAACGACTTAGCGCTCATTGGGCATAAATTATTATCTTGTCTCTTCATAACGACTATATAAACTAAGATATTCCTTTAATTTCCAAAAAAGTTTCTCCTCCAAGACATATACAAATTTATGCGAGAAATAGTCATCAGCTGTGCCAAAAAGATTTTTGAAAAAAGAGAAAAAAGAAATCAATTCGATAAATTAATTTTTTTTTTTTTGAAAAATTACATTCTTTATTATATAATATTAATAAATGGAAGGATGAAAAAAAAAATTTTTTCCTCATCTGTGAAATTGGCTCATTTATCACTGGACATGTCAATGATAAAAGAGCCAAACATATATATAGTCTTCTCTCACTTTATATAGATGAAAGTAACTTTGTGGAGGATTCAGTTTCCGTTTGTGTTGATTAGTTAAAGTTTGTTAAACTCCACGAGGTCTGAAATTGTTGAACTTTGTCAAAGTTTACAGCTCAACGAAATGAGAATTTCCATTTTAACCCGTTAACAAAGAACCGTTCCTTGAGTTTTAATTAAAGTGAATGTCAATTTACGTTTAATAAGACGTACTTTTACTGTATTGTTATATCGAATTTTCCTATTTAGAGTTACTTATGAGTCAAAAACAAGGTAAATTTTTAAAAAATTTTTTAAATACATATAACAAAGTAAATTTAAAAAAAAATTTAAATAATAGTTTTTGGTTTGTAAAAATTAAAAAAAATGTTTTTACTTTGATAAATATTTTTAAAAAATCATTTTTTTATATTTAGAAAATTTAATTTAACTTCCGGAATTCTTTCATTCTCGCAATGTGCATATATTTATTTTAATTTAGTTTAATGAAAATTCCATGAAGTATGTCCCGGATAAAAATTTCATTCTATAAGAATGAAAGAACCTCTTTCTTCATGTCAACTGCAATTGCAATTTTTCGAATGTCCCAAATTTTTTCAATTTATAACCCACATAGAAATGAAATATTTTTAAAATGAGATCTTCCAAGAAGGTGAAAATTAAAAAAATAATTCTAAAACAGATGTCTTATTCATAGCTCCCTTAAATTTTAAAATTTTTCTAGTAGGTGAAAGTTACATACAAAAATAGTTTTCAATGATTATTAAAATAAAATAATAAACTAAATTTAGTTCCTACGATGATGATGATGATAATAATAATTACACTTGGGGGAGGAAAGAAAAAGAGTAATTAAGTTTTATTTTCGTTTCTTTTTTCTTTCTGTAAAATCTGAGATAAAGTCACTTAGGCTACAAGTTGCGTACCTATATAGAAGTAACTACCCCAATGTTGCGAAGATCCCGGGCTGATAAATCATCCCAAGAACACCTAAAGACTCTTATCGGTCTCGCGTATTTCCTCCCATAGGTATTTTATTCCCAAAAAAAATATATACAGATGTTTCTCATCGCCAAAAAGTCTTTGTGTGCACACAGAACACACACATAAACGTAGGTGTATAAAAAAATCCTCCCATCAACTTTTTTTCCTTCGACCAGACAACTTCGTTATTTCTTCGAGATTTATGTGAAAATCGCAGACTTCTCTACCTATATATATATAAAAGAAGTGAATCTCGTATATGGAAAAGAAATTCCCCAATTTTCTGAAATTGTATTCATTACGGAAAAGTTTTAAAAGAAAAAATTTTACGTAAAAGAAAAATTTTTTTATCCTAACCTCAAAAGTTGATGATTTATTATTTTTTGCTACAATATTTTTTTTCTGTATATTCATATATTTATAGATTTACGCTTTTTCGCTTTTATTTTTGCTGTATTTTAATAGGAAATTAATTTTCTTTAAGTTAGATTTCAAAAAATCAAGTTATTTAAAAAAGTTGATTTTTTAAAATAATTTGAAGGTCCAATATAGAAAAGTTTCAGATTTGCCGTAAGGAAAAATAATTTTTAGTTAGAATTTAGTTAGATTTTATGAAAAATAATTTAAATTTGGCGCGCTTTCAATTTTCAGGTTGCAAATGGCGTAAAGGTGGCTTAAAACTAGCAGATAACCATGAACAACTGGCGGACGTTCAAGCCCTAAGCACAACTGAGTCGGGTGCGGGAGACGACTTGGGGATATGGGCTTCCTAACCTCAAAATGTATGTAAATCTTACATATCCCGAAACCGAACAGTTGTGCTTAGGCCTTCAAAGCAGAGATGGACATTTAATATGGACACTTACGTTCACGGTAAGTTTCTTTTATAATTTTTGAGGTTATTTTTAAAAAAATTTAAGATTTTAAGGTTAGGATAACTTAATTCCACTGAAGTAGCTATTAGTTTTAATGGTTTTCCAATTAGAAAAATTAAACAATTTAATAAATTAGGCAATTAAAAGGAATTATTATCGTTCGTAACAAAAAACTCATTTATTTTCTGACTTTCGAGGCTACTTTCAGAAAAATTAAAAAATTTTCAGCTTATTATCTTGGATTTTGAGGTTATGTTATTTTTTTCTGACTCTTGAAGCTAGTTTTAAAAAAATAAGAATTTTCGGTGTATTTTCTTAGATTTTAAGGTTATGTTAAATTAATATTAATTTCACTATAGTTATTAATTTTAATGGTTTTTAATCAATTTTTGCATGTAATATTTTCTTTTATCCCACTGCTCTTTTTGACGTAAAGAAAATAAATTTTAAGTTGCAATTTAACTGAAATTTATAAAAAGGAATTTGAATTTAGCGCGCTTTTAATTTTTGGATTGCAGATGGCGTGAAGGTGGCTTAAAACTAGGAGACCACTATGAACACCTGGCGAACTTCCAAGCATAAGAGGTGAACACCCAACATGAACACATGGGGTAAATGGTAATTTATTTTTTGGAAATTATAATTGAATGAATAATTTTACGTAAAACGATTTTAATAATAATTTGAGAAACGTTACTGTAGTTGCTCAAAAAATTATTATTGTTTCTTTAATTTACGTTCGAAATAATTTTTTTATTTTCTTATTTTTTGGAGATTATGTTTAAAAAACTTTAAGAATTTGCGTCTGATTTTCGAAGAAACGAAGAAAGTTAAGAAGCAAAAGATTGTAGGTTATGTTTGTAACTTTTTAAAATGATAATTCTCCAAAGTGTAGTTCTATTAAATTTGTTAGGTAAAAATTGAAAAAAAGAGATAAAAAAAATTAAGAGAGAAAAAAATTAAATTGCAATTTCTTAAAACGGAAAGAAACTGTATTGTCGGAATTAATTCTTTTTTTATACGCGCGGAAAAAGGAAATGGACCATTTTGGCTCTGACTTTTGCGGAGACTAATAATTTTTGTTTAAGGCAAAATAGTGTATATAGACATACTTTTTATTGCCATTTGGTCAAGACGATTCTAGAAAATGTATGATTATTGCCAAAAATGCAGAAAAAACAAAGAAATAAATTCACTTTCGCCTGGATTCTAATTAACCTCTCTTTCTTTCTTTTCTCGGTATAATTATATAACATATTTTCTTTCATTTGATTGTCTTTTTGTTTAAAAGAAAAAACTACCGGAACAATGAAAACTATATTCTTTATTGTTTCTGTCTTCTTTACGTAATTAAAAGTAAGAAAAAGTCTAAATCTCAACTTTAAACCGTAGATAAAAATATTGAGAAATGCTTCGTGTGTTATTTCGGTTATTCCCGACACGCTATGCGCCAACGCGTCCCCTGTCGTCGGACAGTGCAAACAAAACCCTACCCGCGAAATTCAAATTCGAATTTTTGTTTTTTTTATTTTTTGAGTCCAATTATAAGAAAAATTACGATAGTTAATAAGTTTTTTCCTTCCAAAGTAAACAATTAAACGAGATTAAAATACTAAAGCTAGAGAAGATTAAAAAAATTCTAAACGTATAAATGACAACCATTTATTTTTACTCAAAATTTGTCTCTTTCACTTTATAGTTTCAAATATATTTTCATCATTCGTAAAGTGTTTCCTTTTTTTTTGCTCACTTCTTCCTTCTTTTTTCTTTTGGGTATATAAACTCAGCTTTGAAGAGTCGAGAAGCGCGCTTTATAAGTGGAGTCGTGGCAAAGGCGGTCGGTGCTATACTTAACGGATTCATTACGATCGGTCTAATAATATGCATTTCAGGAATGTCCGCAGTGATATTCTCAAGAGAGAAATAGAGAGAGAGAGAGAAAGAGATAAAAACGAAAAAGCGTCTCTTTGCACGCAAAATCTCATCGCCACCTCCGCACTTTCACGTTTTGCTTCTCTTATTATTCGCGCAACGATTGTAAATTTGTGAGTGGCCGTATAAATGCCCGTAGCGCACTACTATAATGTTTACAAAGCCAGCCGGCGATAATGCAAATAAACTCAGGAAATTGGCCTTTCACTGATTTATTCCCTCGTGAGGTGCCTCATTCACTTCATTTCACACCCAGCATCGCAAAATATTTATCATCTCTTCATAAATGTCAATTTCATTTAAATTATCACAAATTTTGTAATATGGGTTTATTATAATTTAACTGATGTATATTGCAAATTTTCGTCACTAGATAATAATAAAAATTGCAATAATTAGTAATTAAATTAAGTTGATATTCTTAACAAGTTGTTAGGCAAAGTTTCATTGTATTTTAAGGTTATGTTTGATTTGATATTAAACTTACACTGATTTCGATTTTATATCTTCAATTTAACTTTCAGCTTTTTAAATTATATTTCAATTTAATTCAAATTCAATTTATTTAAAAGATTCAATTCTTCAAAAATTCGAAGGTCCATAATAGAAAAGTTTCAGATTTGCGTAAATTTTGTAAAAGATAATTTAAATTTGGCGCCTTTTTTGATTTTTAGGTTGCAGATGGCGTGAAGGCGACTTAAAACTAGTAGACAACTATGAACACCTGGCTATCGTTCAAAGCAGAATTTGCGACATGGACTCATGGAGTTTCACGGTAAGTTTTTTTTAAGTAAATAGTAAAATATAATCGTAAATAAAAAATATACTATCATAAAACTACTTTAATAATTAAAAAATATTATCGCAGTTAAACACAAAATTAATATTGCTCCTTTAATTTCCGTTTGTAATGAACAGAAAACAAATTTTCGATTCAGTTTAGTTAAATTTTATGACAAATAATTTAAATTTGGCGCGATTATTTATTTTTAGTTTTCAACTTGCATGCATATTTAGACAAATTTCAAGGTTATGTTCGAAAACGTTTTTAAGTGAAAACTGTGAGAACAAGGGAGAAATGATATTAAATTAATATTTCGTAGGATATAAGTAAAAAATATTTTTTAATTTTCTTGAATTAAATGCACGAGAAAAAAAAATTTTTCACTAAAACTTTTAACTCTTTGTTATTTCTTCTATAAATTCGTGGTTTCAAAAAGTTGATAGTGGGTCGAATCATTATCGCTTGACTTTTTCCATTTTCTTTAAGTTTTTTTTATTTTCTCCCTCTTCCTTCTCTTCCTCTTTTTTCTTCTTTATTTCGCTTATATTTCTGGAGAGTATAACTGCGTTCATTTCATTTCGACTGTGCACGAATTCAGAGCACGTGGTGTCAAAAAAGATTGTGGTAAATGTGATCTCATGTTCTCATCTTGCCGGTGAGACAAGAGAGAGAGAGAGAAAAAGAAAAACAAAAGTCTTGACAATTTTCAACCGTTAACCTTAATCGTTTCATTCAATTTATTAATCAAAATCCATTGAAATGAAAAATGTCGTTTCAAATAAAATGTTTTTTTTATATTAAACATTAGAACAAAAAGTCTTTTTTTCTTAGTTTGGATAAATAATTTAATATGGGTAATATTTTATATATTTTTTTATTTAAAGAAAGTTTTCAAACATAACCTAATTTCGATTATTTCCAGGGACCTTAATTTACACATAGTATTAAACATAACCTAAAAAATTTAGTTATTAAAATGATATTAATTCAACCTAACCTCAAAAAATAAAAAAGTATTTAAAATTATTTCTTAATATATTTTCTTAATTATTTATGTCACGCTCCGAAGAAAGGTACCTAAGAAGCAAAAAATTTGAGGTTATGTTTTTAATTTTTTGAGTAAAAATACAGAAAGAGAATTAATTATTAATTAAAAATTGTTGGTTTTCAAGTCTTCATTATATTTAAAATTTTCAATGAAAATTGGTTTCAAATTCAAATTATTAAAAATAAACTTTTAATCATAAGATAAATCTAACACGAACCCAACCTATAATTCGTTTGCTTCTTAGTTCTTAGTCTTCTTGGGAGCGCGTCACATTTAATTTAAAAAGTATAAAATTAAAAATTAAATTTATAAAGTAGTAAAAAAATTTCAAAATGGAGTTTTTGATGATAATAATAATCAAAGAAAGTAAAATCAAGAAATTTACAAAATGAATAAAAAAATAAGAATGTAAAAATGTTGAAAAAAGAGCTGAAAAATTCGAAAATCAAGATATACAAAAAGAAATTAATTGTATCAGATAAGAATCGAGTTAATTACAATCGCAAACGAATCTTTTGACATGGAACATTTATATAAATCTGATTTTTTAACGTTCTTAAAATTTGCGGATTTTGTGTAACATGACACGTCACAAGGAGAAAAATATGTGATCACCATGATATACAAACTCTTTGAAGTAAAATGTAAAATATATAAGAGACCCCTAAAAGAGATTATTTTTTTTTCATTTTAAATCTTACTGGGTGGCTTCTTATATGTATATATATACATGATATGTACTGAACTCCCGTCTCCTTATCTTTGGATCAATATCGATCTGTCACCTGAGCACATGTTTCTTGTCGTTTTCGAGATAATTGTCACTTTCAATATTTTTCTCACTCGCCAGTCAATTAATTTTTCTCCTTTTTTCGCCTCACAATATTCTCATTAATCATTTTCAAACATATTCTTATATTCATTTGTAACACGTAATAATAATTTCAAGAGAGTGACGTAATAAATATAATTATATATATATGTTTTGTGAAGGTCGAAATTCAAAATTTAAAAAGTTTATATTATTTAATTAATAATTGATATTTTTATAATATTTATGTATTTATAATACGCACTCTGAAGAAAGGTACCTAAGAAGCAAAAAATTTTAGGTTATGTTTAAAATTTTTATATTAAAAATACAGAAAAGGGACTAACTCCCATTAAAAATCACTGATACTGAAGTCTTCAATGCATCTAAAATAATTAATAAAAACTGATTTCGGTTTTAAATGAAACACAGAAACTTTTAATTAAGGTAAAAATAATACAAACGTAACCTTAAAGTCATGTGCTTCTTAGGTACCTTTGTTCACTCGGGTTTAATAATTGCGTATGTTATATAAATACTGTTATGGGGTAATACTGACTAAAAAATGGGTTACAAGAAAAAGAGTCTGCGTTTGATGGTTGAATAAATCAAATTTTTTATAGTTATAGGATTGATGAGATTGAAAAAGAGAGCGAGAGAAGCTGCATAAGTTACTCCGAAACATGGTAGGAAGTACAGATTTGAATAAATCTTTGATCCGCCACTATTGTAGGACTTTTCAGCAAAGATTAAGCGACCCCTCCGTGTACAACTCTTGTCCTAAATCACTGAACTCATGCCAAGATTAAGTGACCCTTACCGCCCACTTCATATACCTAAATCAAGAACCCACGTTACGATAAAATGACCCTTTGGCGTGTCTCCCCTTCCCATAATATACTACATCGCCTTCATTTCTTCATTTCAATACACTCTGTCCTTTATATATATATATATATATATATATATATATATATATATATATATATATATATATATATATATATATATATATATATATATATATATATATATACATTTCGAAATTGTCCCCACATCCTTTCTATCACCATTGATTTTCAAATGCTACCGAAAAACCGACTTTCGCCAAATGGTCCATAAAAAAACAATTTTCGAAATAAACCCCAAGTCATTGCGTGTTGATTTTATTTTTGAATTTGAAACAACATTTTCCATCTACTTGGTATTTTTTATATATTTACAGGCACACTCATCTACTGAAATCTACTATTTACTACATTTTTTAAGATTTTCTAGAGAATTTTTTTTCTTTTTTATATATTTTTTTTTCTTGAGAATTAGCACTAGGTACTTTTAATTCGCTAATAATATTGAAATAAAAAAAAATAAAATTATTCTCATATTTGCAAAAATTTTCATAAAATTCTTCCAAAAGTTCAATTCTTTTCATAAATAACAAAATTCTTTGTGTAAATTTAATTATTTTTATGCACAAAAAATTTATTATTGTGTATAATAATTTTAATTATTTTTAAAATTTCAATAAAATTCTAGTCGAAAATTCAATTATCTTCATAAATAATACAAAATTCTTTTCATAAATTCAATTATTCTAAAAAATTTTAATAAAATTCATCCAAAAAGTTTAATTCTTTCAATAAATAACAAAATTCTTTGTGTAAATTCAATTCTTTATATACACAATAAAATTCTTCGCAGGAATTCAATTATTTTAAGAAATTTCAATTAAATTCTAGTAAAATTTTCAATTAAGAATTGATTCAAAAATGAATTTCAGTTAAAATTTTGAAAATCATTTGAATATTATAGAAGCGTCATAACTGGAATTTTAAGAAATACCTAATTAAATTTCAAAATATTTTTAAATTGTTTGAAAATTTTAATTATTAAAAAACTGTAATAATATTTTAATTTTTACTTTGAAAAATTAATTAATTTATTATTTTTTAATAAATAATTAAAGTTTTGAATAATTTTATTTAAAAATTTCAACAACAAAAAAAAATGATTGACTTCTGGAAGAATTTATTTTTTCACTGCGGTGTATTAAAATATTTTAAATGATTTCAATTTAAAATTTTTTTGAGACTATTACTAAAAATTACAACTGTAAAGTTGTAATTTTTAGAAATAGTCTCAAAAAAATTTCACATTGAAATTATTTAAAATATTTTAATACCGCAGTAAAAAAATAAATAAGTATTTAAATAATTATTTAACAAAAATTATATAACTTTTGAATGTAATTAAATTTAGAAATTATGAAGAAATAATTAGTCTTTTGAAAAATTGTATTTCTATTTTTTTTGTAGATAGTTTAAGTCACGTAAATAATTCAAATTGATTAAATAAGATTTTCAATTATTTGGAAATTTTGTCAAATATAATTGAAACTTTTTATATTTTAAAAAAATTTTTAATTATTTTTAAAAATAATCGTATTTTTCACGAATTTGATATTAAAATTTAGAAAACAATCGTATTTTTGAAGAATTTAATATTAAAATTTAAAAAATAATAAAATTTTAAAAAAGTTTTAGAATTGAAATTATTAGCAGAATGAGAAAAAAAAGTAAATATTTTTGATGAAAATTAGGAAAATGTCTTAAACGAGTTTTTAGTTGCCAAATTTAATTTTTCGATTGCTACTTTTTCGCTATTTCTTTTCACTCTTAAAGATATTTTTTGCTACTTTTTTAAAATTAATTATCGAGTGCGAAGCCTGTATTTATATTTAAGGGGACTATTGTGTCTTGATTATTTTCAGGAAATATTGTACCTAATTGACTTAGATAGTAATAGTGATAATAATAGTTGTTGATTGTTATTAACTGTAGAATTTATTAATTTTAACGGTTTGCATTTAAAGTTTGCTGACAACTATTTCTTTCAACCCTGTACTAATTTGCTAAAGAAAAAAAAATTCCAGTTACAATTTAGTTTAATGAAAAATAGTTTAAATTTAGCGCGTTTTCAATTATCAAGTTGCAGATGGCGTGAAGGTGGCTTAAAAGTAGCAGACAACTATGAACACCTGGCGAAAGTCCAAACAAGAGATGGACACCCGACACGAACACTTGGAGTTTATGGTAAGTTCATTTAAAATTATAATTCAATCAAGTTTTACGAAAAACAATTGAAACAATTCAGAATTGAACCGCCGGATCGTAATAGTTAAGAAATTAAAAAATACGATTGCCGCTTTAATTTTCGTTTGTAACACTTTTGACGAGATAAATTCTTCAACAACTAACTTTCAATTACGTAATCACAATTGTCTTAATAATTTTTGAAAAAATATTTTCTTAAAGTTCGGCTAAAGTGAAGAAAATATTGCAAAATATTACAAGGAAAGTGTTATTTTAAGAAAAGTGCCGCAATATGAGAATGCATATTTATAATGTGAGATTAATTATATCTAGATAAAAAGTGAAAGTACAATAATATATTTAGTAATTAAAATTAAGATGAAATGTTTTTTTCGCAATTTTCACTTAAAACGAATTGTCGCAATTTTTAATATAAATTTAAATTACATATGCAGATGTTCATTTTACCCCGGAGCGCAAAGTAATATAATGTGTATATAGCATCGCACATAATCGTTTTCGTTGATCTTTTTGTGCCACGACTAAACTCCTCTGATTAATAGTTCCGTACGTCATGAGCTATTAAACGCCGAGAAAATCAAAGAGTGTGTCTCTATAAAATCAAAAAAAAAAAAAAATCCCCACACCAATGAATTATACACCTTTCGATAATGATTCACGTCTCAAATGTGATTTTAACAGTAAATAATCTTTATCATTCTAATATAAAATATAGCACTCATTAAATAAAGATTTTATAATTTTTTATATACGTTTTTAATACATTTTTTAGTATACTTTTTTCTACTTTTTTTAATACATTTCTTTATACATTTTTTGTACAATGTTTGTACATTTTTTTTGTAAATTTATTTTGTACATTATTTTGAAATTTTTTGAAAATTTTTCTACTTTTTTTGTAAATTTTTTGAACATTTCTTTAAATAGAGATACACTTTTTGTTGAACTTTAAAAGTTCGATAGTATTTTAAAATATAGGGTGATATTTAGAAAAAAAGTATAATAATAGAAAATTGAAGGAAATTTTTGCAAAGAAAATCTTTATTTATTTTAATTAATGTAAGTAGAGAAAAAAAATTAAGCTCCAACATTTTCGCTGCAATCCATCTTGGGGAAAACGATTCAATTTACTTGGAGGCAATAACATAAAAACAAACATTCTAACCGAACCGTCACTCTCGTATAAACGATCACTCTATTCGTCCGCACGAGAAAAAAGAAATTGTTCTTCATCACGCGATAATTGTTGGAGGCATTCAAAAACTCGATATTTAATCGATAAGTAGAATAAGATGCTGTTTTTACTATTTTAGGGAACAATTTATAATTTTTTGTTTGTTTTATATTTGACAATAAAATGTGGAACTAGTTTTATATTAGTTCAAATTTTCCCGCGTTTTATAGTCTACAGATGGCGCGCGTTATTTTTATTTATTTATACGATTTAAACAGATAAACGACTTTATAGAAAAGGGAATAAATTTTAAAAACGAAAATACCTACTTAAGTAAGTCTACCTGACTTTAACTTTCTCTTTATTAAAACATATTGTACTTTTATGAATTGAATTTGAAAAGGAAAAATTTCTCCAAAATTTGTAAAATGAAAAGTCTGAGCATGTAAAGGTTATTCTTGGTATTTTACCCTTGAAGGGGGCTATCAATAAACTTTTTAAAAGTAAACCAGAAAAGGCAATTTCCTTTTCAATTTATTTGGTCCCTCCGTCTTCATCTCGTCCTTTTTTTATTATATAGGTACGTATATATGTATTAAAAGATGAGTGAAGTATGTCGAGAATTCTGAGCATGAAAAGCCAAAGTGCCAAATTCAACTGGGTCGAACTGTCGTCGTCATAGATGGGGGGAAGTGGTAAGGAAAATTTGAATTTCAATGAAAATCTCTTTTGTATAAGACGTCTGACTTTACCCCCAAGAAGATTTCACGGTGGCAGGGATTTTTAGATCAATCAACGTACTTATATATAACTTATATAGGTATATATAACTATATATATATATATAAACAAAATTTCTGACATGTAAAAAAGATTAATCGGCAAGCGTTGGAGGTGAAAATTAAATTTTTCGTCTCAATGAGTTTTCTTTTGGAAATAGTTTCCGCATTTTTCTTTGTCAGGTATTTTTTTAAATATTTCCCTCACTCTATATCTTCTTTTCTATTTTTCATGCTTGCAGTAGTTTGAGAAAGAAGATTGTATTTAGAATTGTAATTACAAATTGATTATTAAATTTTCCCGCTTCTTGATGTTTAGGTTGCAGATGGCGCGCGGAACGGGCGACTTTAGATACTTGGCGAAGAAATTACTGATAGAGAAGTCATTCTTGAAGGGACAACATTCGGGTTTCAACCAGCAGACAACTTGGATGGACATCGGGCTCCGATACGCAGCGTTTTCTTTTGGTAAGATTTTTTTAAATTATTCCAGTTCATAATTATATGACAAAATTTTCATAATTGTCACCTTAGTTGCAGTTCCAAAAGTGGAGGAAGGTTTTTTAATTTCCGTTTGTAATTATTTCATGGAAACTATTTCCTGCACTACACTGCAAACAAATTTGCTCTGAAGTATAATTTTATGAAAGAAATTTTCAGAATTATCACATTAGTTGCAGCTCCAAAAGTGGAAGAAGGTTTTTTAATTTCCGTTTGTAATTTTTTCATGGAAACTATTTCCTACACTGCAAACAAATTTGCTCTGAAATTTAATTTTTTGGGCTTTTTAAAATTTTTATTTGTTTGAACTATTTAGTAGAAGAATATTTATTGACTATGACAATTGTGTTGTGGAAATTTTTTTTGTGTCCCTTTAATTACAATTAATAATTTATTCGCAACCCCTGTCGAAACTTTTTTTAAAAATAATTTTATATAAATGGGCCATTAAACTTTTGTATACTTAAAATTGAAATATTTTAAAGAAAGAATTTTCCTTTTTTTTCTAAAAAAATTTAAAATAAATATTTTTTATCATAAAAAAATTTAATGGGGAAATAAATTTTTGAATTGAAAGAGATCCGCTCTTCGGGACCATTGAATTCGATTGGGAAGCCACTCTTTCCTCGTATGTATGTATACATATAATGTACAAAAGAAATGCGCCGCCTTTCAATGAATCGCTTTCCCTTTCGTCGTCGTTGGCTGAAAAGTGTCCACGAACTTGGAAGTTTCAAAAGTTAAGAAATGAAATCACAACTCGATTTCGTATATATAAATGTACATTCGTATATATATATATAAACGTGTATACGTATATATTGCAAAAACTTGAGAGTTTTTATGTTTAAATCACGAGGGAGAAAAAAATTCGACTTCATTCCCCTACTGTTTTTATAATCGAAAGTGAAGATGTCGAATCTCCCCTTGTCTCCCTTTCTCTCTCTTTTTCTCTAGCAAGACAACCGCAAGTTTTCGTAGTCAGTAAAATTTTTCCCTTTGTTTCAATGGTCCATATATCTTGCACACAGAGGACCCGACAAGATTTTACTGCTCAGCGCGAGTACTAAAAAAACAATTGCTTAGTCAGCGAGAAATCTCGTCGGGTGCTTTGGTTGACAAAACGAGAACGAAATTCCATCGTAATTGTATACGCGCGTTTTTTCATCACACCACAGGGAACAAGAAAAATCAAATTAGATTTTTCCATAAGAAAAATTAATACCCCCTTTTTTTAGGCGAAAATTTTTATTTTTGTGAAAAAAAAACAAATTTTTTCCCCCCTTTTGACATTTGAGGTATAGTCTGAGGGAAAGGAGAAAAAAATTTGATGCATTTCGTCTGTCAATCTAGCGCGCGTCTCGTGTCTTAAAGCTGTGAAAGACAGCGACAACGAGGAAAGAAGAAATTGAATGAAATTCTTCTCCCGGAAAGTGATTCGCAAACGTATAATACGAGTCGAGAAAAATGACATAAAAAATTACGATCCAATTTCAAAGACTTCTTTTTTTTATCATCCAAGCATAAAGTCACTGGACAAATAATAAATTTTTTCCTAATCAGAATTTCATATTAGTTTTCTTTTCTTGTTCTCGAATTTATATTAATTTTTTCTATTTCGAAATTTACTGTAATATATATTAAATATTGTTGAACATTTTTTTTGAAAAATTAAAACGAGGAACGTGACTATTTAATAATGAAACAATTTATCAAGAAGTAGATAAAAATGATGTTAAGGGAGATTTAAATGACGAAGAAAAAGAAATATAAGGAACAAAATTGAACAAGATTTCGATGAATTCATGCGTGAGTGGGGACTTGAAGTTACAAGAGTAAAAAAAGATTTAGGCAAAGTCGCGTCTAAGCAAAAAAAATTTTTAATAAATGCACATAAAAAATCAACAAAATTTTTCCTAATCAGAATTTCTTATTAGTCTTTTTTTTGCTTTTTTTCAATACATAGTTAAAAGTATTTTCACCCTCTCACGAAAGCGAGTTTCGTTTTTTATGGAGTCGAATAATTGAATTCGATAATCGGAGCGAATCGACAAATACTCATAAACCCAAATGATCGTAAAAATTCATGATTATTTCGCCGGGCAATTGAAATTCTCTCGTGAATGTGCTATTTTTCACATTTCTTTTATTCTTTTTTGGTCCCCCCTTTCTTTTTTGTTTTTCGTTTTGAAAAATCTCGGGTTTTCATTAATGAAGAGACTTGAAATTTTCGAGCTTTGGATTTACGGGGAAAATTAACCTAAATTGAATTTGCGTCTCCCTTAGGATACATATGTATGTTCGTATATATATAAATTTGGAGGAAAAATTTATCAGGTCATTTCGTCAAAGTTCCAGTATGTATACGTATTCAGACACACACATATACCAAAAAACTTTCCACTTGGTCACATATATTCGTTCTTTTCGCAATTTTCTTAAGAGAACTCCTAAACTGAAAATCGACCTCAATCGCGCACCAAACAAGATTTGCTCTCCGAATGCCTAATTCGGAGTCGACTTCAATTTTTAAGCACATATCTTACAGGATTGAGAGACGAATCAAATAGAATTTAATACCGGTGAATTTTTTATGAACGTAATTTTGTACAGTGCAGACAAATTTCTTTTGGATTCTTAATTTTTTTAAATGCTGTTTGTTTGCTTCATTATTTCTTTCTTTTGTTTTATTTTTCATCATTAACCGTTTGATAGTTTTTAAGTTGTAAATTAAAAAAATATTTCGAAAGCTTTAAAATGAGGGTTTATTATTTCTTTCCAACTTTCTTCTGTTTTATTTTTAAACATTAACGTTGATAATTTTTGAGTTGCAAATTAAAAAAATATTTCGATGACTTAAAAATGAGGATTTTTCATTTTATAAATTGCATTCGTTTTGTTTTGTATTTTCATTAAGGAAAAAAGTTTTGACTTGAAAATTAATAAAATTTCAATTTTTTTTCGCTTTTTGACTTTTAGGTTTGAAGAAGTCGCTAAGGTGGTTCAAAACTAGCAGACGACTCTGGACAACTGGTGAGCATTGACTGATCGAAACCATTCCGAGACAGACATTGGGCATCACCACAAGGCGTTTCTGGTAAGTTTTTTTTTAAATTTATACAATTAAAAATTGTATAAAAAGCAATTTTTGATTTATGATAGGTAAAGTAAGCTCCTATAATTTTCGTTTGTAATAAACTGTTCGAAAATAATCTTGAACGCTGCAAACAACATTAGCTTTCGCCCGTCGACGACAGGCATCCTCAGATATATTTATACTGAAATTACATACAATTATTAGAGAAGGATTTGCACCGAAAATTATTTAGAAGAACATAACTTATAACTTGCCAAGAAAATTTCTTCGAAAAAGAGCATTTGTAGTTATAAATCAATAAAAATCCATTCTTTGAAATGGTAAAATTTCATAGTTTTAATCAAGAACATGTCGTTCTTGATTAAAATATTATGAAAAGGGAACAGCATGTTTGCTCCTTCTTGTTTTAAACTGAAATAGCAAAAGGAAAATTTTAGTTTACAATCAAAATTTATTTCTTCATTTTGTGATTCATGTTGTTCCTTTTGATAAATGTTTAACCGAAATGGTTCAGTTAGTAAATTTTCTAAAAAAAACCATGGGAAAAGTATTTGTGGGTAATAAATAAACGAGAATAATGCTATTCCTTTTAATAAAATGCAAAGTTCAGTGAAAGGTGGGAGTTTAAAAAAAAAGTAATGGACCCATTTTTAAAGGATATTTCAGTTGTCGGATAGTTTTCTGTGGAATAGAATGAGAAGGATAATGAAATGCCCGAATTTTCGCACAATCGCTTCTCAATTTACTATATAAGGTTTCATAAAAAAGTTTCACTAGAAAATTGAAGCGTGTAAAAGTTAGTTTTAAATCTACTTTGCGAAACTTTTGTTAAAAGTAATTCCAGAGACTTTGGATCTTGGTAAATGTGGATTCTGGGAGGGCACGCGTGAGCACACGAGACGACGACTCTTTGACGGAAGGGTTGAAATTACACTTTTCTTTCTTTTATAAAAATGACAATTTAACGACTTGAGAAATCGTTCTATTTTCTATGATATCGGAGAAAAACAATTTTATTTATATAATTTCTTATTAAAAATATGGAATTTAAATTTTTCTAGTGTAGAAAAAAGAGGAAATTTTTTTTTGTCACTGAATAGATCCATTTGACGGCAGTATTTCTCAATTAAAATTTTCAAGCGTCTTGCTAAGTTTTATTGACCGATGCGTAACTCGACTGAAGTTAAATAACATTTAAAGGAATTTATTGACAAATTTGAATTTAAAATAGTACTTGTCGATGAATAGGTCTCTCTCTTTCTCTCATCTTGTAGTGCGTGATTTACGATTTGTATCTCCGAGAGAAAAAAAAGTGGATAGCTTAAATCCTAGAATGGCAAAAAGATCATATACAATCATGGCAAGCAATATGGCTAGACACCACGTACTTGAAAAATACGTGCTCGCAATCTTTATCTTTGCCGAGAGAGCTATGAGTGGATAGCGGTAAGTTCAAGTGTTATATAGGTGTATGTATATATATAAGCTCGTAATTTCGCCAAGTCAAGAAACGTAAATGGCAGAACATCCTACTTAAACTGACTGCGTACGTACAAATGTTTTTAATCAACATTGACACCAATCAACATTTCAGACGCTAATCTCGTAATACACTTGTATAATGTACACTTTTAATTTTTATCGCTTGTCTTACTGTCAATTAAATTCTTTACAAAAAAGAGGTTTTTTTGTGTGTTAAATCTTCTTGTTTAGTGTAAAATCTTTTCATTTTGTGTAAAAAGAATTTCTATGTATTTTTTAAATGAAGTAAATCCAAAGAATTATTAGAAAATGAGTAGATTTGCAAAAGTGACAAAAGTGGAGGTCAAATAATTATTCCATTTATTATTTTAAAAATTCGTCCGCCATATTGGATCCGACATTTTTAATTTTGGAGAAAGGACTTCAGATTCGTAATCAGCGACCTCAAAAACCCCTATAAACATTTTTGTTTTTTAAATTAGTGTTGTAATGTATAATGTATGCTATGCCGAAAAGGGTTAAACAAAAAAAGTAAATCTGTGTATAAAAATGGCCTCTTTTTGTCACAAATTTTACCAAAACGATTTTTCTTTTTTTCTAAATCTTCTTAATTAAATTCTCCATCGTTCTCTCGAGTCCGATTTTTGAATTTTTGTTTTTAAACATTTTTTTAATAACAATTAGTATTAATAAAATCATAAAAAAATATTTTTTATTAGCTTTATTAATTAAGAAAATTAATCAAAAAACCTATTAATAGTATATTAAGCAACACATAAACAATTACTGATACATATTTTTAAATGAATTGTTAAATATATTTTATAACTTATAATCTAACAAGAAGTTCTAGCTATTACCAAGCTAGGGCCAGGTCAATGCGTACATTCCAAGCTAGGACCATTTTAGACCGAATAATCAATATTGGCAAACCTTGGCAATTTCCACACGGGATTATAGTTTTATGTAAAGTAAATTAAAAAATGAACAAAATAAATTGTTTAAATAATGTTTAAATAATTAATTTGTAATATTTCTTTGATACTTAAATGTTGTAGTTACAAGAAAATGCACAATACAGAAAAAATTGAAATTTCTTTTCCTAAGTACAGTTTATGATAAAAATAATAACAATTAAATGTTTAAACAATTTTTAAATAAATCATTTTTTATTTTTTATCATTAGTAGACATTTAACTAATGAAAAATTGCACACTTGAGAAAAAACAAGTAATTTCTAGTCTTAAGTACAGTTTATAAAAAAATAAAAACAATTGATTGATTACACAATGTTTAATTAATTTATTTTTTATCATTAGTAGATGTTTTATTCATAACAAATTGCACAATTCAGAAAAAACTGGAAATTTATAGCCCTAAGTATAATTAATGAAAAAAATATAACAACAATTAATTGTTTAAACAATATTATAAATTGTTATACTTTTTTCATAAATCAGAAACACTTAAACATTATTTTAATAGGTTTTTTGATTAATTTTCTTAATTAATGAAGCTGTTATAGTCAGCAAAAATATATATCCCCACCTGAATTGTTTCATATTCAACATGAGCTGCAAAACATATTTGCAACTCAGTCTTATTCCTGCCTTTAAAGTGTAATATTGAGTATTATAATGAATTGTCACTCTCAGAAGTGATAAAAATATTTAGTAGTCTAACATATCACACCTACACGGAAAAACCTTTAAGCAGTCTGCTCACCCGAAACTTATGCGTCAGCGCCACCACTAAACTTGTTCATCTGCACTCCCAAACTGGGTGACCAACGTACCCAGTTGTAATTTTCTAAACTTTTTGGGAAGTTTGTCTATCGAAAACGGTAATGCTACGCACCCAGTGGCGGGCGATCAGACTTTCCATGCAGTGAGAAGCGAAATTTTGTGACAGTGGGAAGGCAGACTTCTCAAAGGTTTTTCCGTGTATAGAGATTTAAAACACACAAACTCTATATCTGACAGACTCTGACTCGACTGACGAAAGTTTAAATATGGAGAACGAATCAAAAACCACCCTTAATCCACCTGGAACATCAACAACGCCAAATACGGAGCAGATTTTTTCATCAATTGTGGATCAACTTTCAAGATTAAATGTAGGAGTTACGAGTTTAGTTCATGAAAATAATAACAGGAAAGATGAGATAATAACATTAGGCAAAAAATTAGGGTTAAATCCTACGGAAGAAACAGATAACGAATCAGAAAATGCATCCCATAACGAAAGTCATTTCGGTGATAACGAATCGCAATCCGATGTTCAACAACAAGCAAATAGAATAAATAATCAAAAAATAATACAAAACCAAAATTTAGGAAAAATTTCCGCTAAAGATATAATTAGAACTATTAAAACATTAACGGGACAAGATGATTGTGGAGTTGAAGACTTTATAAAAATCGTTAAAAGAGCAAAAGGACAATGTTACCAACCAGACCTATTATTAGATTTTATAATTTCTGAAAAAATTACCGGAAACGCAGAAAGAGCAATAAGATACTTAGATTTAGACAGCTATGCAAAACTTTTCAATGCTTTACGTGCAAATTTAACGCAAATCGGTTTAGTGTCAATGCTTCGATCAAAATTATTAAATTGCAAACAAAACCTTACCGAAGATATTCAAAGTTTTAACAATAAATATAGGAAAATTTGTCATGAATTAAAATACGCAATTCAATCAGAATACACAAACACAATTAAACGACAAGTTGCAATAGAAAATGAAGAAAGTGAAATTTTAAAAAGATACATGATGAACATTCGTCGAGACATAGGATTACAGATAAAAGCTCAACGACCGCTAAATTTAAATGAAGCTCAAATGCAAGCATTGGAATTAGAATTATGGTTTCAAGAAAGTGATTATCAGAATTTGTCAAATAAAATAAATGCACCTGCAGTGCACGTTCCAACACAGATAAAGCAGGTATCATGTCACAAATGTGGAAAGACGGGACATATGACAAAAGAATGTACTACATCAGCAAATTTTCGCGATGGCAGGTTGACGAAGAGACCACCGGAAGTTATCAGAGTGACACGCGAAGACCAAGAATTTTCAGACTTTCAGGTAATGACCGAGGAAGAAATGCAACACCACGAGCAATACGACAAGAATGTCAAATATCAACCTTGAGTGGACAATTACAATTCGTATACGGAAGAGCTGAAAATGGAGAAGAATACAGATTATTAATAGACTCAGGAGCATCAGTTAACATAATAAAAGAAAATAAAATACCCAGAAACAATTACACGACTTTTAAAGTAAAAAAGAATTTTTGTATGGGTAAAGATAAGTACCAATCAGAATATGCTGTTAATTTAAATTATTTCGGCAAACAACAACTGTTTCATATTGTCGATGAAAATTTCCCTTTACCCGAGGATGGAATAATTGGATTACCATTTCTACAAAAATATGAAAAATATGCTATCATCCCGAAATTCCTTATAATAGAAAAGTGGAAGACACCTTTACATGAAGATGGATA